TTCTGTGACTGCTGTAGCAAATGACCAAAAACGTGGTAACTTAGAACAACATGCATTTATCCTCTTGTAATTCTGGAGGTCGGAATTCTGAAATCCGTTTCACTGAGCTGAAATCAAGGCATCCGCAGGGCTGTGTTCCCTCTGGAGGCTGTTGAGGAGATTCATTTTTTTGCCTTTTCCAGCTTTTAGAGCTCCATTCCTTGGATTCCTTGCCTTGTGGGCCCTTCCTCCATCTTCAAAGCCAGCAGCGTAGCATCTTGCTTCACTGGTCACAATGCCCTCTTTTCCTGTGTTCAAATCCCCCTCTGCTTCTCTCTTATAGGGACACTTGTGATTACATTTGGGGTCCACCCAGTTAATCCAGGATAGTCTTCGCATCTCAGGTCCTTTGGTTAATCACATCTGCAAGTGTCCTTTGGCATATAAAGTAACATTCACAGGAAATTAGGACATGGCTGTCTTTGGAGGCCATTGTTTAGCCTTCAGTAGGTTCCGAGGACTTCTGTACCTATGAGGTTCATGTGTACAAGCTAGCTGCATAATTCTAAGAGCTGTGTAACTGTAAAATTTAAAAGCTTCTTAAACCTTTTTGGTCATTGTTTGAAAAAGAATATTGAGATACTCCAGTGATAGAAAAAATAGTTGATATGGTTCAACACTAATAATTCCGGGTATGAAAACACGATTCAAAGACGTTCAGAGTACCATGGAAGTTATACGGCAGGCTTTAGAGAGCTGCCTTGAAGTTTGACGAAGATTCTGGTAGGTAGAAAGTGAACAGTTAAGACCCTTCTTGCCAAATTGATAGTAGGAGCAAGGGCCTGAAAATGGGAAACCACAGACTGTGTTCAAGGCACAGTGTCAAGTGGGTTAGTTGAACAAAAGAGTAAGGAGAGAATGCTGGGATGGTAGGTGGCCTTACATTATGGCTGACCTCAGGTGTTCGATGGTGGATATCATATTTTGTTTGTCCATGGTGAGTTGTTTTGAGCAAGGGGTATAAGGGGATAGTGATAGTGGTAGTTCAGTGGTAGAATTCTTGCCTTTTCACCTTCCATGCAGGAGATCTGGGTTCCACTCCTAGTACTGTGTGGCCCAAGGCCTCAGGCATGCACACACTCTTATTAGGCAGAATATTCCAGTGGCTCAGAGCTCCTCTCCTAGGAGGGGCCAACAGCATGTCCTGAAGAGAAGACTCCCCGCCCCCCACCCCCAGAATGTGCAAGGTTTGAGTAACCCAGGTCTGCTCAGTTAAGTCTTTCTTCTACCATGGGAATTAGGAGGTCACTGGTAATTTTGACATAGGAGCTTCATAGAGAAGTGATGGTAGAAGCCACAGTATAAGTGGTTTAAGGAAAGACTAGTGTATGGAAAATGGATGCAGGGGGTGAGAATTACATTTCAAGAAGATTGTGGATAAAAGGACAGAAAATAATGTAGCTTAAGGGAATTAGTAGCATCGGGATTTTTTTAGAACTAGGAGATGATAAATATTTTTGTGTGCAGAAGAAAAGGAAACAGTAGGGAGGGATAGAAAGTATAAGGACAAGAGAAGTGATATGATTGGAATAGTGTCTTAGAGGTGGTAGGGTTCACTGTGGAAGGGTGTAAGGCACTCTTTCTCAGAAGAATGAAAGAACAGAGAGAGAGAGAGAGAGAGAGGGAGAGAGAAAGTGTTATTGTTAAGCAACAGGCAGTTCCTTAGCAGCAGTGACTACTGCAGCTGTTGTGTTGCCTAGTATACTTCTATGGATTTGGCTGGTTAAGGAGACTTTGAGCCCAAATGGATTCAGGCAGTACATTACTCACAACACAGCAGGCAGTAGCATGAGCTTTATGTTCGCATCAGTTTCCCTTGTCTGCCAAGTCTGTGGGATGATGCGGCTGTGGCCCAAGTGGATATTGCACATCTGTGTCTTAGCTGAGGACCTCTGAGCTAGGAAGCCCTCGATCTTCTAAGGGGGTGGCTAGCAATGCTGCCCCCGTTGTCCTGGAGGAGTATGTTTTCTTTATCACACTGATCAGGAAACAGATCTGCCCTCTCACACTTGGAGACAACTTCCAAGGTTGTGTGCTGTGCAGATACCCTTTAATAAAGCTGTCTGTCTTATATGACCATGAGACCAGAAGAACTAGATGGTACCCGGCTGCCACTGTTAACCACTCAGAGGGCTATCAGTACAGTATCTAGGATCTATCCAGGAGATCCTGGATAGAGTGGGAGAACAATGTGGAACAAGATTCAAAATCATAAAAAAAAGACCAAATTTGCTGGTCTGATAGAGCCTGGTGAGACCCCTGAGACTATGGCCCCTAACTACCCTTCAGATCTGGAATTGAACTCACTCCTGTGGCTTCCAGCCAAATAATAGACAGACATATGCAGTGAACATTTACATCAGATAGATACACTCCTTGGAGTGATCAGTCATGGGAGAAAAGAAGGGCTATGTTTGCACGGGGAGATAGCTTGGGGGGCAGAGGGCAGGAGTGCATAAAAGGAAGGACATAGGGAAGAGGTAACTATGAGGAAGAAGTGGGAAAAGAGCGGTTATGTTGTGGGGAGTTGTAGTCAATGTCATGAGACAAAATGTGTGTGAACTGCTATGTGGAAAATGAATTTGCTCTGTAAACTTTCACCCAAATCACAATAAAAATTAAAAAAAAAATTATTTAGGAATAAAGCTGTCTGTGCCCTTTGCTCAGATGACATTCGAAGTGCCAGACCCATAGAGAATTATGTCTCAACTATGTGTGTGTGTATGTATATATGTATACAATTAATTCTTGTTATTCATAGTTGTTAGGTTCTGTACAGTCAACTGCAGACACTATATTAGTGAATACTGAACCATTGGTCCTAAGGGAAATAAAGAGTTAAGTTACCATGAGCCTCTGGTGACATTTTCATCAACTCTTCCATACATAACTTAGTTTTATGTATTATTTCTGTTTAAAGATCCCTTCTTTGTTATATAGTTTTGATTCACTAACATTGAAGTTAATGGCCAACAGCACTATAACTCGTGCTTGAACAAAGCTTATTCCCTTTGAAGGCACTAGACAGCATTTTAGCATTGTGCTTGGGGGCCATTTTTAACAGCAATGTCATCAACACAAACATGCAGTAAATAGATCACAAAAAGGACATTTGTTTACAGTCTGAGAACTAAGACAAGAAGACAGAGCATCACCTTGTTCAGACTCAGCTGGGAATGTACATATTGGGTGACTCAAAGTTTTTACTGCTCTGTACTTGTTCATAAATGATTGCAAAAGTGCTGCAGGTATTGATCGTGAGGTTTTATAAGTAAATATCAGTGAGGAGGCGAAGTTGTGAATATGGAATCTGTGAGTAATGAGGATCAACTATACGTGTGTGTATGTGTATTTGCAAAGAGATCTTAAGATGTAGAAAATGCACTTGAGGGAGATTATGTGGATATGCCCACCCTTTTCTGTTACGACACATTGGATTGAGTCAATATGGCAGGATTTGTGTCTGACGCATTGTTTTTCCTCAGAGTTTAGTACAGTGCCTTGGGCTTAGTAGGTTCTCCGTGAATGTTTACTATTGACGATCTTTAAAAATCATACCTCCCCTCTGAGACAGGACTCCCTAGATAATTTCTGAAGTGTGTATGGGGCCCAATAATTATGTTATCTGCAGGTCTATTTAAAATGTCCATTTCATGTGACAAAATGTACTGATCTCGGGAGTGTATTTTGATAAAATAATACTTAATAGGTTTGGAAAAATTTTCTTTATACAGCACACATTTTATATATGTAAAACAAAATCACATTATATCATTTTAATACGGTGTTCATAATAGTTATTGCCTGTGTGTCAGGGTAGTGTCCTAAAATAGTAGTGCTTTGCAGTTGATACTGCAGATTCCATTAAGGAAAAACTCTTGTGTGACAGATGTGTTTGGTCCTGTAGGAATCAACGTCTGTAACAATGGCTTTTATATAAATGGAATCAGATGGCTAGGAAGCAATGTTAATGTCTGTTAGGTCCTTTAAAATGGGAATACAGTCAGGTTTCAGTTGTTGAGCAGCAATCAGGTATGAAAATGGGAAAGATTTGACTGCCTTTTTTGTGAAGAAGAATAAAACAAGGGCACGTAGACAAAGAAGTAGGGGTAGAGAGAGGCAAGTTAGCGTCAAAGTGATTCATCTGCACCCAGGTCTGTTCTACACCCCTTTTCTGATCTGTGTGCTTCTGTCCCCTGCAGAATGAATCAGCCTGACATTTTATCAACTTTTTGAAAAGTGAGGTGAAGTGGTGTGGAACACATCAGAGGGGTGAAGCTGAGCAAATCTGAAAGAGAGCAGAGCATTGCATTTCATATTCTGTGTGTGCTGCCCCCTCCTTGTGGAGCCAGCAGAGGCGGAATTGATGTCCACTCATTTTCAGTGTATCTAGCTACCTTCATGTTACACTGATATTAATATAGTTGAAGTAAGAAAAGAGCTCACTGAGGCAGTTACTGCACCATAGACAGTCATCAGTTTCTCTGCAACCCTACAATCACATGGGATTCTAGTGTCTGCCTGGACTTGTACTTGCCACAAGATGACCTTTATTGCATTTAGTGTATATGTGTTAAGTGATTTTTTTTTTTTAGTATACACACTATTGCTTCTTTGAAAGTTCGTAAGAGTTTGTTAGGGCTTCCCAGAATTATCAGCTGGATCTGAGCAGAAAAAAATTGTGGGATGAGAAACCTTTCTTGATAACTCTAAATAATAACTATGAGGTGATAGCAAGGGTAAATGCCAGTTCAGCCCTGGGTATTGGCATGCATGGATGCATGTGTATGCTTGAAGGAAGTAATTGGTAAATCACGGCATCCTTAGCATTCTGTGTTTCTGCACAAAATGACTCAACTTTTTCACCTGAAAAATAAGCTATTTGAAACCTATTTTTGCTTGTTAGTATTCCATTCAAATGAATTATGTACAGATAATGATTATTTTTGGATGCCTTCCAGAGACAGATGGCACCGTGTTCAGAATTCACACAAAAGCCGGAGGACTTATGGATGTGGATGTACCCTTAGAACTTGTGTTTCATTTACCTGTCACTTACCCTTTGTGTCTGCCTGGTATCTCGGTTAACTCTGAACACCTGACCAGGGCCCAGTGTGCGACTGTGAAAGAGAAGTTACTTGAGCAAGCAGAGAACCTTTTGTCAGAACCTATGATTCACGAGCTTGTTCTTTGGGTTCAGCAGAATCTCAGACACGTCCTCAACCAACCAGAAACTGGAAGCAGCAGTGAAAAGTGTACTTTTCCACTGAGCACAACTGTGGACGATGAACTGTGGGTAACTCTTTTGCATTTAGATCACATGAGAGCAAAGACTAAATACATCAAAACTGTGGAGAAGTGGACTTCAGATTTAAGGCTGACAGGAAGACTGATGTTCATGGGTAAAATAATACTGATTTTACTGCAGGGAGGCAGAAACAACATCAAGGTGGTAAAAAAAGTTAAATGTTGAATGTGAATTTTACTATTTTCTTCTTAAAATGGTATATCTGTATTTTATAACAAATTAATCATTAAGATGGTTCTGCTTTATAACAGATTAGTCATTAAGAAATTTCTCTTTATAAAGATTAACCATTAAGATATTTCTGCTTTTTCTGTTACCAGGTTAATAGCTCTTCATTTTCTTTTTTAAGAATGTCTTTATTAGCTCCTGATAGCAACTATAAATTTGTAAAGCTTGAAGAATAAGCATAAGATTATATTTTGGAAGTCATGGCACTTTGTGAAAGTTACAGAGTATAGAAGAAAAAATTCCTGTAGTAATAAATAAGAATGTTATTTTTCTTAAGCCTCAACTTTATAAATGTGCACTAAAAGTTTGTGCATATTAATATTTCTCTCCTGTTAGAAACAGCATGAGATATATTTGTGGGTAGTCTGCAAAAATGTTAACACTGTGGCAGTTAAAAATACTTTCTGACATTTTAATTTAATATCTATAATACCTAGAAAGAAGAGCTTGTCGCTTATAAGCAAGATTTAGTGTTAGTAGAAGTAGGATCATTAGGGCTGGCAGCTTGTCACCTCCTACCTAACTTTTGCTTTCCAGCTGACTTGTCCCAGCAGCTGCTTTCAAAATCATCATCTTCAGTTTTTAAGTTCTCATTCTAAACACGTCTAAGCTGGTTTAAGTGGAGCCAAATGAAGAAAACTGCTTATTATATTTTAAATCTTGAAAGAGCTACAAATCACTTAATAGAGTTTATGTTTTCAAATAGATTGGGTCAGGAATAATTACAATTGAATTTATTTGAAACAGATTTAGCTTGTACAAGCTATAATCTTAAAGATTTATAGAATGATGACCTGCATTTTTCATAATCTTAAAGATTTATAGAATGATGACCTGCATTTTTCGTGATAGACTCTTATCACAAAATGAGTCTAATATCTGATTAATCACATTAGTGCTGGGTTGCAGCATATAGGTACAACAAATAATTCAAATTTAATATATAACCTGTATTGGGGCCTGACAAATGGACCATGTATTTTAAGGTTATTTATACTGTATCTAGGAGCTCTGGTAGCGTAGTGCCTAAGGCACTTAACTGCTAACCAGAAGGCTGGCAGTTCAAACCCACCAACCACTCCTCGGAAGAAAGGTTAGGCAACCTACTTCTGTAGTGATACCGCCTCAGAAACCCAAGGAGGGGTCGCTATGAGTCAGGGCCAACTCGGCATGCAACAACAACAACAACATACTGTATCTAGGAGGCTCTGGTAGCGTAGTGCCTAAGGCACTTGACTGTTAACCAGAAGGCTGACAGTTCACACCCACCAGCCACTCCTCGGAAGGAAGATGGGGCAATCTACTTTGTAGTGATACTGCCTCGGAAACCCAAGGAGGGGTCCCTATGAGAGTCGGGTCTGACTTGATGACACATAACAACAACCACCACCACATACTGTATCTGTAAAACTTGATCCTTTTGGGTACTGACTGACAAGAAAAATACAAATTAATTTCCTTGCTCATATTTCCCCAAAAGGCTCATATTTTTCTTTAAGCTAGCTCCGGTGTATTTGGCTAAGTGTAGCTGTTTTTCAGATGTTGCTACCTAGATTGAATTGATCAATTAATTAACAAGTATTTATTCATATAACTTGACCCTTTGCTAATATATAGAAATTGTAATTGTTTTAAATAATTGTCTCTAAACCGACATTTTGTGTAAGTATCTTATATTTACATAAGATTGTGTAGTAAGAGTGAGAATGTACAGGTACATATTTATGGGAGCTCTGGTGGCGTAGTGCCTAAGGCACTTGACTGCTAACCAGAATTCTGGAGGTTCAAACCCACGAGCTACTACTCAGAAGGAAGGTTGAGCAACCTACTTCCATAGAGATACTGCCTCAGAGACCCAAGGAGGGGTTGCTATGAGTCAGAACCTACTTGATGTACATATTTATAGATGCCATCAATTTGAAATAATAAGTGCTACATGCTTGTCAACTTCATTCAGATGCTCATTAGAAATAATAATAACAGCACTAGCATAGCAGTATATGTCAGGCAGTCCTCTAGGTGCTTTGTTTATATTAACTTAATCATCACAATTCCCCCATGAGGTCAATGCTGCTGTGATTCTCATTGTATAGAAGAAATAACTAAGGCATAGAACGTATAAGTAGCCAGCCCAGAGTCTGAATTACTGGGTGGTCCCATCCAAATTCATGAGTCAGAATTGATTTGAAAGCAACTAGTTTGGTTTTTGGTTAGCCTGATTACCTCACTCTTTACTCCTGCATTCTCCAGAACGTTGTGCTTATAAGTATGTAAAAATTGTGTATAACTCTCTTATGCCTTGATTCAGTAAAGAGAGCATAGGACTCTTTATGCATGAAAATAAGCTTCAAGGTCCATGGCTCCTTTAAAACTAGGACTTTGAGATTCAGAGAAGATATGTATTTGACATACTGTTTTATCATTTAGGAGTACCTGATTCTTCAGAAAACCTCCAAAGTAGATGTGGACTCAAGTGGAAAGAAATGCAGAGAGAAAATGATTAGTGTCCTGTTTGAAACAAAAGTACAGATGGAACACAAAAGGTATAATTTAATACTACTGCAGAAAGAAAAGCAACTGAATCGATAATTACACTCTGACAAATCTAGGCATATCCATGATTTTCTCTTGTATAATGCAGGTTTCTGGCATTTGAAGTCAAAGAGTATTCATCATTGGACGAGTTACAAAAGGAATTTGAAACAGCAGGACTGAAGAATCTTTACTCTGAATTTGTACTTGGGCTGGTAAAGTGAAATGGAAGACAAGACTCTTAGTCAAGCAGCAGTGTTTTTGTTTTGTTCATTTTTGTTGTTTTTTTATACTGGATTTTGAGAGTAGTTAATTGAAATACATGAGAAATTTTGAAGTTTCTCTGCAGCAAAATGGGAGACATCATCCTTACTTTAGTAAAACTTAATTCTGTTTTATGGAAAAATAAAGATTTTTTTTTAAAAAACTGACTTCTAATTTTTGACAGGAAAAGCTAGGTCCAATATATCTGAAAGATAAATATAAAATGATGATTATAAATGAGTCCTTGCTTTTTATACAGGACTTGTTTGGCACTATGTGATTTTCTGGCTAATTTTCTTATAATTAAATGATTTTAAAAAATAGATTTGTTTTCATGTTTACTTAAAAATAAGTTTTTAGTATTTGATAGTGATTTTTTTCCCATTCAGCTTATTATATCTAATGTTTTAAGTTGACTCTTAAAAAAATGTAACACTAATTTCTTTGTGGGGTTGCATAAATCATTATTTGGTTTAAATACAAACTAAAGAAATTGTACAGAACTGGATTTATAATCCCTTCATTTTGGGCTACCAAAATAGCTTGGGACTAGCTAGCAATAGAACTAGAGAGTTGATTTAAGGTAAATTTTTATTTGAAAAATTTATTTTATTTGAAAAATTTACCTTCTGGTTTTACGAGGAGAGATGTTTCACAGAAAATGAACTTGGCCTGGATGGATGAAATTATATAGAAATAGTATTTTTTATTTCTTAGGAACTCCGTAAAGGCATGATCATCTTAAAATACATTTATTGTGACTTAAAGAGGGAAGAAGCCATAAAATAAAAGCTTATGTTAAAGTTTATAACCAAAGTGTAAGCAGACATTTTTGTCTGAGAAAGGATATTGTGTATATGAGGTCACTTGGGCTTCTAAAATAAGGGGCCAAGTGATGAAAGAAAGACCAAGTGAATTCTTTTTACTGCAATGTATAAAGTTCACTGACATCAACATAAAATTAAAACTGATGGAAGAGCTAAGTGAGCAAAACTTTGTGGCATGTTGAGTAGCGTTTTTTGACAGTGCTGTTCTATGACTATGGCAGTTCAATGTGAATGTGTCGTTTTCAGACACCATTGTAATTGAATTATACCTGCCTAGCCTTGGAAGATGGGAGCTCTGGTAGCGTAGTGCCTAAGGCACTTAACTGCTAACCAGAAGGCTGGCGGTTCAAACCCATCAGCCACTCCTCGGAAGGAAGATGGGGCAATGTACTTCCATAGTGATACTGTCTTGGAAACCCAAGGAGGGGTCGCTGTGAGTCGGGTCTGACTCCGTGGCACGTAGCAACAACAACAAGCCTTGGAAGACAGCCCTGGCGATCTGCTTCTGAAAGGTCACAGTCTTGAAAATCCTACTGAGTATAGTTCTACTGTGACACATATGGGGTTGCCATGGATCAGAATTGACTTGATGTTGAGTAACAACAACACTGATCATATTACAGGGCTCTATTAATGAGGGGGATTTTTCAGGTTTCTTTCATTCTTGAATGTTTATGATTTTTCCTGGAGGACTGGTGTCTATAGATTGTTCTGTGGGAAGAGCGTATATGGCAAGGAGAAGCTACCCTACTGGCATTCAAAACTGGGAAAATAGGTTTGAAAGTTTTGGATGGCCACTATTATTCCTTCATTTTAATTAATATACTTCTGGTGAAAATTAAAATAGTGGGGGCAAAGGAAAAAAGAACAAGGTTGAAAATATTGGCCATGTCGTTTGGAGTGGTTGAGAGCACTCCAGATCATTACATTAAAAGTTACCACCATTAGGTCTTTAACAGCAGTAATAGCAGGAGGTTGTGTCTGAATTTTGTAACAACAGAACTTCTAGTCCTCTTTATTTTACCATGGCTCTTCTCTGCTAAAGTGTCTTATCACTCCATATTTTGTGATACTTCTTCAAAATTTCATCTTCAAATTTGACTCTTTACCCCTAAAGAAGGGGTAATGAGAATCACGCCTGAAGGAATGTTGGTAATGACTTTCTCCAACTTAATCATGTTGTATTTCTATCTGCTGAAATAATGTTAACAACGTATTGTGTATGATTACTTTCTTGGATCTTTACACCTAAGTCTTTCATAAATATATACACATCAGAATGCAAAACTAAATCTCAACAGTGTTAGAGATTTTCATAGATTTAATTTGACCTATGAGTAAAGGAAAATTTTATGTACCAAAAACCTGTAAGAATCTTAATTGATATTTCTTTCATTTTAATATTTGAGGAAGAGAATCTTAATTGTTTCCATTGATGTTTTTGCCTCAAATTCTTTACTGTTTTCCTTTCAGCTTGAGGCACTTAGGAAAAGATTATTAGGACTTCTAACTTCCCATTGGAAGAAAATGAAAAATGAAGTATAAAAGAATCCTCTTAAAATATCAAGATTCAAGAAGATAGAATTTTTGGGCTAAGCGTGAGAGGGGAGAACAATCCACAGAGGTGAGCCTGGCACTTGGGGCTATTTTTGCCTATGATACATTTGCCAACCTGAAAGGCTGAGTTAACAAATGGCAGCTAAAACATCTAGAGGAGCTCTGGTGACACAGTGTTTAAGTCATTAGGCTGCTAACCAGAAGATTGGAGGTTCAAACTCAACAGCTGCTCCATAGGAAGGAAGTTGAGGCAGTTTGCTTCTGTAGAGATTCACAGCCTTGGAAACCCTATAGGGGCAGTTCTACTCTGTTCTATAGGGTTGCTCTTAAGAATCAATTCTAGGGCAGTGGGTTTGGTTTGGTTTGAAAATCTGAGGACAAAAGTTGTCATGTCTGGGGTAGAGGACATGGGACCAAGAGCTGGGACCCTGAGCTGGGATATTGTAGGATTAAGGGTGAATAAGAGAGATACCATTTGCCCCTGACTACAACTAAGTTTTGAGTTACAGGACCAGAAATTTTGAAACTTTGAACTTGGAGTAGAGTAATCTATGATTCTAATGTTCCCAGGTACTCCAGAACTTTGGAGGAAGATAACATCATCCTAGGCCTCATGTCTTAATAATTTTTTATTTCAATATCCAGCAGAGGTAATTTGGCACATGAGGCAAGATACTATGAGTGATACCATGAAACAATAAGACAATAGAAATAGACCCATAGGGACTCTAGATCCTGAACTTATCAGACATAATTCATGAAACAACTGTGCTCAAGGAGATAAAAGCCCAGCTTGAAACTGGCATTAGAAACTGTAAAAAGTGACAGTATATTTCAAAACAAAACAACATATTCTAGAACTGAAAAATGCATTAATTTAATGGATGGTTAATCACTCAAGATCTAGTTTGGAAATCAGAAACCTATCTAGGGAGGAAGCAGAGACAAATAGCATTCTGGTGACACACTCCACCCAATCCCTCTAGGACTTAAAAAAAAAACAACTCAATACCGTCAAGTTGGATCTGACTCATAGTGACCCCTCCTTGGGTTTCATAGGCAGTATCACTATGGAAGTAGATTGCCCAGTCTTCCCTCTGAGGAGTGGCTCGTGGGTTTGAACTGCCACCCTTCTGGTTAGTTGTCAAATGATCCAGAAAACTGACTGAAACAGATAGATGATGATCCTGGCACTCTGAGCATCAAATGAACAGATAAAGAATTAGATTGAGTGCCAGTTGGAAAGGGAGATGGAAGAAGGACAGTAACTGGGGAGTGAGAAGCAGCTGGGGCCTGATGAAGCATGGCCGTTTTAAGACACACAAAGTATACACAAGTGAGGAGAAACCAACTTCATTGACTCCACACTGGAACAGAGACAGGGTGGACAGATCTGGAGTGAATCAAGATTAGCAGAATATGTGCTGGATCTGGGAGAGGAAAATGCAGGGAAACAGTGAAATAGGTAAGATTTCCAGGGCACAGGTGACTGCAGAATGAGGAGGGAGCCAGTGAAACAACTTGTTACTAGTGAACACTGGTCTTCTGGGTTGAGGGCCCATGTGAAGGGGAAGACCTGTGGTGTGTTGGTTGGAGATGCTGGACTCTGGGTGGTCCCTCACTTGTTTGAGTCTGGGCAGGAATGGATAATTGGGTGCACATACCTAGAAGTGCACCAGGCCTATGTCAGTGAATTGCAACCAGAGAGGTGCTTTTTCCACTTTTCCCACTACACCTTTCTGGTGACCATGGGTGAATCCTCTTCCTGTCCCCACAAACCCAGTTGCTATGGGTTCCCCCTTAGGTGGCACTCCCACCCGAACAGTTCCTTGGGCCACCTTCTCCCACTAGAAGTCCAGCCACTTGCCACTCTGAGTCCCAAGCAGACAGAGCCAGTGTCTGCGGCTCTGCCTGCTGTGTCATGCTTTCACTGAACACAAGGCATGCACCCCTGTTGCCTCCTTTGTTGGAGATACTTGTGTGTCAGACTTCTAATCCGCAGGCAGGCACTCTGCTGTATCACCCCAAAACTGCCTGCTGCCACTGCTGCTGGCTGATCATAGCTGCACTGCCCCACCCCCTTTTTTTAGTTTTCTGGTTTTTCCTTTTTATACATTTTTCTTCCTTTTTGTTTATTTCCTTCTCTTTCTCTTTTATTTTCACTAATATTTCTTCACATCCATCCCCCCTTGTTTTCCTATTCTATCCAATAGGAGGCAGACATTAATTCCCCACTAGTCAGCCATACCTATTACATGTATCACCTACCACCTCACTCAATGGGCAAGTCACCCACTCCTGTACTAGTGGATTAATGACAGATGGTGGACAACACCTGTTCATCGCACCCACAGCTCCTCTTCACTACTGACAAATAGAGACCAGTGCCCACTTTCCCACCAGTTACTCCACCCACCCAGAGGCAGTTAGGGAATGCCCCAGTGCTGTCATACTAACAAACAAAGAAGCACGTCTGCCCCAGACACCCAGATATATATAAAAAAAAGCAAAGCAAAAAATTAGGGTGAAACAAACCAACATCAAATCTACAAATAAAAACAGCAACTCTAGAATGT